AATTTTTTAAGAGAAAAATCTGATACGTTTGATGCTTTCCAGGCCTTAGTCCTTAGAATCCAAAATGAACAAGGTGTTTCTATTGGGCGTCATAAGAATCCGAGCTGATCATAGTCGTGAGTTTGAAAATAGTTCGTTTTCAAATTTTTGTGATATGCATGGGATCAAGCATGAGTCTTCTACTCCTATTACTCCACAGCAAAATGGAGTTGTTGAGAGGAAAAACAAAGTTGTTCACGAAATGGCTAGGATCATGCTCCTTAGCAAGAAAGTTCCTCCAAGGTTTTGGGCTGAAGCCTTAAATATCGTCGTTTATGTTGTGAATCGTGTGTATTTAAGGCCCAGCACTTTACAAACTCCATATGAATTATAGAAGGGATTGAAACCTAATGTAAAATACTTCAAAAAATTTGGGAGTAAATGTTACATTTTCAAAGATAGAGAGCCCTTGGGCAAATTTGACTCTCGAAGCGATGAAAGCATTTTTCTAAGGTATTCAACCACTAGTAGACTTTTCGTGTCTATAACCTGCGTACTTTGTCTTTAATGGAATCGATCAATGTGGTTATAGATGACACAGGTTCTCCTACTTTAGCGATAAATGAGGAAGAAAATGGTGAGTCTCCAATCCAGGATACTGAACAACAAAGTCAAGGAGAAGCAGATGTCCAAACCTAAGAAAGTGAGCCAGTACCAACTTCTAAGGTAAGTTCGAATCCAAAGAGTGCACCAAGAGACACCACTTCTGATGTTCCTATCACTACAAGTCCATAATTCAAAACATCAACAAGGGTAAAACTGAATCATCTGACTTAACAAGTGATTGGAAATGTCTCAAATCGAATGACAACTCGAAGACAAATTCGGGAAAAGGTATCTCATATGTGTTATGTTTCATTAATTGAACCTAAGAACATAAAAGAGGCCTTACTAGATGATAGTTGGGTCAATGTTATGCATAAAGAGTTAGGTCAATTTGAATGTAACAGAGTTTGGACTCTTGTCCCCAGACATAGAGACATGAATGTGATAGGTACCAAGTAGATCTTTAAGAATAAATCTGATGAGAATGGTACTATGGTTAGAAATAAAGTTAGGTTGGTTGCTCAAGGCTATACTCAAGTAGAGGGTGTTGACTGTGATGAGACATTTGCCCCAGTTGCACATCTCAAATCTATTCGTATTTTACTTGGTGTTGTATGTTTTCTTAGGTTCAAATTGTTTCAAATGGATGTGAAAAGTGCCTTTCTGAATGGGTACTTGAAAGAAGAGGCTTATGTTGAGCAATCAAAAGGGTTTGAGGACCCAAAATGTCCAAACCATGTCTACAAGTTAGACAAGGCTTTGTATGGATTGAAACAAGCTCCTCGGGCTTGGTATGATAGACTTACTACCTTTCTTCTTGATAATAATTTTCAAAAGGGTAGTGTGGACAAGACTTTATTTGTGAAACATACTAAATCTCATATACTTGTTGCTCAGATTTATGTTGATGATATTGTGTTTGGATCCACTACTGATCATCTTGTGAAATATTTTTCAGATTGCATGACACATGAGTTTGAGATGAGCATGATGAGAGAGTTGTCTTATTTCTTAGGTCTTCAAATTAAACAGTCTCCTTCGGCTATGTTTGTTTCTCAAACTAAGTATGCCAAAAACCTTGTGTCAAAGTTCGGTCTCAGGTCGGCTAAACATGCTCGCACTCCTATGAGCACCAATCTTCACCTTTCCAAAGATTCCTTTAGTACTGATGTTGATCCTACCCTTTATAGGAGTATGATAGGGAGTCTCTTGTACCGCACAGCTAGTCGTCCTCACATTGCTTTTAGTGTAGGTGTTTGTGCCCATTACCAAGCCTATCCTAAAGAGTCTCATCTTCTTACAGTCAAACACATCATTAAGTATGTTAATGAAACATTGGGTTATGGGATTTGGTTCTCGACCGACACTACAGCTGAAATCACTAGTTTTTTTTTTATGTCGACTAGGTAGGGTGTGCTAATGATAAGAAGAGTACATCCGGGGGGTGTTTTTACCTTGGGAATGATTGCTTGGCATAGCAAAAAGTAAAATGCCATCTCTCTTTCGACCATTGAAGCTGAGTACATTGCTGCAAGGAGTTGTTATGCACAAATGTTGTGGATGAAGCAGATGCTTCATGATTATGATATAGACCAGAACACTCTCACCCTTTTCTAGGATAATATAAGTGCCATTAACATTTCTAAAAATCATGTCCAACACTCTCACACCAAACAAATTGACATTCGTCATCATTTCATTCAAGAGTTAATGGAAAAGGGCCATGTTGTTCTTGAACATGTACCCACTGAGCATCAAAAAGCTAATATTTTTACAAAACCCCTTGATCTTCTTAAGTTTGAGTTCCTTAGAAAGACCTTGGGTGCAGTGCTCAGTCACTAGGGTGTTACCTGTTACTTGAATGGGGGAGAGTGATTGGTTTTATGTATGCTTGGATGCTATAATTTTATTGTCATTGATTCATGCCATCTCTGCATTTAAATTCATATGAACACTCTCATACTACTTGCAAGATTTCATTCTTCTTTGTTCATAGCTCATTCAGTCTCTTAACCATCTACCATCATTTTTCAGTTCCACAGTTCCTCTCTCAATTCATTAAAGACCGGGCATTAGGAAAAGGCTACCTCAAAGGCACCAACCAGGCCATCCTTATTGATTTCATGCTTCTTTGGTTTGGTCTCCATACTCTTGAGCGTGCATGCCACCAATGAGTGGCCAGCAAGTAAGAAAAGTCAACAATTTAAAAAAAAAAAAATGGACTCATTGATTGAGGGGGAGCCTCCGCGTTTACTCAACAAATACCCCTTGATTCCTAGTGGTTTGAGTTTTCTCAGTGATGTTTAGTTACTCTTGCCGGAGGTCCAGCCATCCAATCACTACGAGGATTAACTCTAGCTCTATGGTCTCTCAAGGATTGCACATAAACACATTCATTATATGAGCTCTCATGATTGTCTGTGAGTTGTGTATTCTCATGTGGCTTATGCCCATTGATCAATGTTTATCTGATTTGCTCATGATATTGTGTTCTATATTGTCAAAGTGTAGGTTAGCAGCTTCATGATTTGTGGATTATCTCATCTTAGTGTCACATTTTTGCTATTGCGCTCACCTCTGTTTATTTCAGGTCCCACTTTACAGGGTGAGTTGGTTTTTAATCTACTCAGAAGGGTGCATTTTTCATTGTTGTTGTTGTTGTTGTTGTTTTTTTTTTTTTTTGACCCCGTTCAATTGAAGAGAGTGGTGCTCGAGCGGAAATGTCACTCTTCCAGTACTTTTGCAGAAGCGACAAACTTCTGAGACGGTGTTTTTGGCGTTCGAGCGCGTGATTCCTTGCTCGAGCATAGCCACGGGTGTCCAGGTTCTCGCTCGAGCATGTAAACTCTTGCTCGAGCGGACTGGTTTGCTTTAAAAACCCAACCCTCGACACTCCACTTCATTTTTCCCCAAAATCTCTTCCTCTCTCCTAGGGCTTCGTCTATGGTGTCTTTCCTTCCTCTTGCGACTTGGATTGCCTTTTGTGCGTGACTTTCCTTGCTTTTGTGTGCTCTTCTTCCATCTCTGGTTTGTCTCTTTCTGTCTCTTTGTTTTTTATTTATTTTGTTTTTTTTTTATTTTGTATTGTTTTTTTCCGACTGATTGAGGTATTTGGTGAGGTATCTTCGCCTCTGTGTTTAGTTGTTGTTCTCCACTTGTTCACACACTTTCACAGTGGGTTTTACCTGTTGGGTTTCTCATGGGAATGGTTTAGGCCTTTCTGTATTCAATGTGATTATATTCTATCATTCTCTTGGATCTTTGGTTTGGTGCTCTAATGGGTTTTGGGATATTGGGCTTTGTTGTTGATATTATCACTGCCTTCTGTTCTATTGTGATTTTCATTATGCCTATTTGGATTTTGTTACTAAATGTTACTCATTGATTGTGTTTTTGCTCGGTTTTGCTACAAATGGATTATATCTACAGGATATTTGTCATTTGTCTTTAGTCTCTAATGTTTTCTGGTTATTAATTTTGTTTGTTTCTTTTTGATTGATAATGTGATCCGATAACGAAAAGGTTCGACAATTTAAACAGTTCACTTATATAAGATTTTCTTTTCCACACAGGTGAAACTTCCTAATTTTTTTCCTGGCAGATCAGCTAAAAAGCTAGGTGAGTAGATAGGATTTCTGTTAGGTTAAGTTCCAATTTTTTATTTTTTTTTTATTTTTTGGAAATAATTAGAAGTGTTGATTATTGTGTTGTTACAGGTGTAAGCATTTAGAAGCCTACAGTTCTATTTTTGTTACTATTTTTTGGGAGACTACAAACACAGGCAAAATACTTGTATGGATAGTGGTGTCTACAACACATTCTATTTCATTATTGTCACAATTCCATACATGTCTCGTCTCCTTCAGGTAAGTCCTTGTTTGGTTTCTTCCAATTCAAGGGTTTGTTCGCAAGATTTACCGGTTTTAAAGGCTATTACCTAGGTTTAGTAGTACCCATTATTCTTTGGAGTTTTTGTGTTCTTGTTTTGGGGGAGAGGGGGAAAGAAACATTGTTTGTAGCATTGTATTTAGACTCAAATTGTACAACATTTGCTTACAGCTTATGAGTCTTTAAAAAAAAAAAAAAAAGAGTAATTATTTAAAGTTAGAGAAATGATGCTTTTCATTTTTTTTCTTCTAATTATCAACTTTCAGTTTACCAATAATAATAATAATAATAATAATAATAAATACATAAATAAATAAAATACCAAACAGACTCATTGTAAGGAATGCAATTAATTTAATTCAATGCATGGCTTTAAACTCTACTCAAACTTGGCTGAAAATTTATGTCCAAGTTCAGAACAAAGAATCAAAGAATGTTTTTTTGAAGCTGCCAATCTTATAATTAGACACTTGAAATAGCTCATTTTCTTTTTCTCAGTGCCTTCGACGCTTTTATGAAGAAAGAGATGGTATGCAAGGACTCAATGGAGCGAAATATTTCATAACCATAGTAGCTCTTTGTATAAGGACAGCTTACTCTCTTAACAAAGGGGTTAGTTGGAATATATTGGCATGGATTACCTCTGTGATCGTTGTGGTTTTTGGTACCTATTGGGACCTAATCTTGGACTGGGGTCTCCTTCAAAGAAAGTCGAAGAATCGTTGGTTGAGAGACAAGCTCCTAGTCCCACATAAGAGTGTCTATTTTGCAACCATGGTGAGAAAGAAACAATAAGTTCTGGGATTTACCATATGGTTCAATCTCAAAATTACTAACGAATTTCATGAAAAATTATGCAAGTTTTGAATGTTTTGCTGAGATTCGTTTGGCTATAAATAGTGTTCCATCAGGTTCCTTTCTTGCATAAACAAACCATAGCTGCAATTGTAGCTGTCCTAGAGATCATTCGCCATGGCATATAGAATTTCTTTAGGTATTTTTCAAGATATTGCCACGATTTCATTGATTATCTAATTTACTATTTTTATGGTTATTGTTCTTATTTGATTTGTTGATCAGGTTGGAGAATGAACATCTAAATAATGTCGGCAAGTATCGTGCTTTTAAGTTAGTGCCTCTGCCTTTCAACTACAATGAAGATGATGACAAAGATGAGTGAAACTTAATAGCACAAAGCAGGAGTATGGGCAAAGAAGAGCACATAGAGGTTCGAAGGGCCTAGATAATAAGAAGATATTCTACAGGCTGCAAAGAAGAGATTGAGTACAGCATAAGGCCCATACTACTGTAATACACTGAATCATTTCCCTTGTAACAAGATCTCATCCAGTAGTTAGATTATTAGTGAAATAGTTCGGCTTCCCATAACTGATATATATAGATATCAGTAACAGTATAAATGGTGCGTTGAAAAGTAATAAAATCAATCTTGATCTTTCATTATGGTATCAGAGCCTGTCTCAGCTCCGATGAATGATTGACAATTCTCTTGTGAGATTAAACTTGCCATCCATCGATTCTCAAAGCTTCGACTCCGACGAAGACCCTCATGTATCTTCTCCATTATCTATACCTGTGATTGCTACAATGGAGTCGTCCTCTTCGTCTGAAGTTGTCATTCCTTCAAATCTTGGTCTTTCGATCTCGAATCTTGAATCACGTGTTACAGTGATGTTGGATAACACTAATTTCATAGTGTGGAAAAGCTAGATGCAAAACATCCTTCGTGCCACTGATCTATTAAAGATTATAGATGGTACCTTTTTTTACCCTAGCAATACAATTCGTAGTATATTAGGAATAGAGATTGTGAATCCAGAAGCAATCCATTGGAATATGATTGATGCACACCTTCTTAGTTGCATCACAGCCACACTTTCCCGTTCTATATTCACCTATGTTCTTTATCTTCAGACCAACTCTCAGGTATGGCAAATGCTTGATAAGCGGTTTACTTCTCTATCAAGATCTCATATTCGTCAATTAAAGAACAAATTGAGTTCAATTTCAAAGAAATCAGACTCCATGGAGATATATTTGAGTAAAATCAAAAGTTTAGTTAACCAATTGAGCATTGCCACTTCATTTGTTGATGATGAGGATATTGTTCTCCTCACTTTGAATGGCTTGCCTAATAAATATGATACTATTAAAACTATTATTCGTACTCGTTCAAAGAGTATCACTATAGAAGAGCTTTCTTCTTTACTCTGCTAAGAGGCTATTCATATTGAAGGCAAATTGAAACAAGCCTCGGATCTCCCTATTGTTTATGCAACAATGAAGGAACTTATGTCTTCTTCAAAAGATTTTACTTCTTATTCCCATGGTTCTTGATATTATCATCGCGGAAATAGATCTACTCAAGGTCGATCTTCTTTATTTCGTAGTAGATTGCAAGGTCGAAGAGGCTGATCAAGTTTTGGTAGTTATGGCATGATCTGTCAAATCTGTGGCAAGAAAAATCACACTGCTCTAGAGTGTTGGCACAAACTAGACCCTAATTTTCAACCTTCTCCTTCATATCCGCATCACTCAGCTCAATCTCAGCAGCATCAATCTAAAGCCTTTGTTGCATCTGTGCCAACTGATACTACTACTTCAACCTCTTCTCCTTGGTTCTTAGACTCTGCTGTATCTGATCATCTTACCAATGATTTGTACCTTTTGAATTCTTATCAACCATATAATGGAGGAGATCAAGTCACCATTGGTAATGGTTCTTCACTCCCTATTCATAATACTGGGCAAGGTATTCTTCCTACTCCTCGTCACTCTTTTAAACTAGACAAAGTGTTGCATGTTCCTTCCATCTCTTCTAATCTTGTTTTTATCCAAAAGTTAGCCAAAGATAATAATTGTTCTGTTATTTTTTATCACTCTACTTTTTCTATTCAGGACAATCATTCCAAGGCTATTCTTCATAGAGGTCGTCATGCTAATGGCCTTTATCAATTTTTCTGACAATATTTTTCATGCTTCACCTTATGCTTATAGTAGTTCAACCTCATCTTCCTCTTTCTCTGCATCTGCTGATACATGGCATCGAAGACTAGGCCATCCTTCTTCTTTTAAGTTTCATCTTCTTAAGCAGCATTTGTGTTTGTCATCTAATAAGACTACATATTCATGTATTGACTGTGCTGTGGCTAAGTGTTATAGATTACCTTTTTACCTTTCCAAAAATCATGTAAATCAGCCTTTAGCATTAATACACAGTGATATCTAGGGGCCATTTACTTCTTCTTCTTCTTAATACAAGTATTATGTGTTGTTCATTGATGATTTTACTAAATTTTCATGGCTTTATCCCGTTTCCTATAAAAGTGAAATGCATGCTAAATTCATGGAGTTTAAAGCTTTTACTGAAAAACAATTTGGTTTTCCTCTTAAGATTCTTCGAATGGAGGGGGGAAGGTGAGTTTGTTAATCATTCCATGCAAGCTTTTATGCACTCTCATGGCATTCATCACCAGTTTTCTTGTCCTCACACTCCATCTCAAAATGGAGCTGCAGAGAGGAAGCACTTACACATTAATGAAATGGCTATTTGCTTGCTACACCACTCTTCAATTCCTCTCACTTATTGGTTTGATGTTGTTGTCGTTATAACTTTTTTGATCAACAGATTGCCTAGTGTCTCTCTTTCTAATCAGTCTCCTTATGAATTACTTTTCGACATGTCAGATTTGTTGAATCTATTTTTCCTTTTTCTTCTACTAGTGCATCTTCTTCTTCTATCTCTCCTATGCAGGACTTCTTTTGGTCTTCGTCTCCCAGTTTTTCAACTCCTCAAAGGTCTCAATAGCCCAGGCCACTGCACTCATAGCTTCCCAAGCCACAATAGTCCTCTCCCAGGCCACAATAGTCCTCTATTCTGCCCAGGCCACAACAATCCTTTGTTCTGCCCAGGCCCCATCTTCCTGTCTCTGAGCCACAACAACAACCTATTTTTGAGCCACAGCAGAATCCACTGCAGCAGCCTATTTCTGAGCCATAGCATCTTTCCTGTGTTCCTATTAATTCAATGTCAGTTGTGTTGCCTTTGCCTCCTCCTACTGCTAATTGTCATCGCATGCCGACTAGGTCTAAAACCAGCCCTATTTGCTTCACTGCTTGTGTAGATAATTCTGAGCCTCTCTCCTACAAAAGTGCTTTGACTTCTTTAGCCTGGTTTCAAGCCATGCTTGATGAATACAATGCTCTTCAACACCAGGGCACTTGGTCATTGGTCCCTCTTCCTTCTTCCAAACAGGCCATTGGATGCAAATGGGTTTTTAAACTCAAACGAGCCTCTAATGGGACTATTGCTCGGCATAAGACTCGGTTGGTTGCTAAAGGCTTTCTCCAACAGCATGGCATTGATTTTCAGGAAACCTTTAGTCTGGTTGCCAAGCAACCAACTATTCGTATTTTCTTATGTCTTGCCTTACATTACCATTGTCCTATTAAACAGTTGGACATCTCCAATGCCTTCCTTCATGGCAAGTTGGCCGAAGAAGTTTATATGGAACAACCCCCTGGCTTTGTTGATCCTTCACATCCTTCACTAGTTTGCAAGCTACACAAAGCCCTTTATGGTTTAAAACAAGCACCAAGGGCCTGGTATTATACTTTTAGTTCTTTTCTCCTTTCTTAAGGCTTCACTCAAAGTCTTTGTGACTCCTCTCTCTTTATTCATAAAACTTCATATTCCTTCACCCACCTTCTTTTTTACGTTGATGATATTCTTCTCACTAGTTCTGATCCTATCCATATTCACCAGTTTTTATCTCATATGCACCAAGCTTTCTTTATGAAAGAGCTTGGTCATCTTTCCTATTTTCTTAGTATATCAGTTCAACCTACTTCGACTGGTTTCTTCATTTCCCAGCACAAGTATGCTGCCGACTTGCTTGCCAAATCCGAGATGATTGATTGCAAACCTTATGCTACTGCAGTTTCCATTAAACCTCCCTTATCTACTGATGCATCTCTTCCTTGTACCCAACCATTTCTATATCGCAGTATTGCCGGTGCCCTTCAATACCTTACCATTACTCCACCTGAGCTCTCTTTTGCTGTCAACCAAGCTTGCCAATACATGCATTCTCCCACTATGGGTCATTTTGCAGCTGTTAAATGCATCATGCGCTATGTTAAGGGCACTTTAACAAATGGTCTTCATTTCAATTCTAGTTCGTTTACTCTTAGTGCCTATACTGACTTCGACTGGGCTGGTGATCCTACTGATCGCCGTTCTACCTTTGACTATTGTATTTACTTGGGCTCTAACCACATCTCTTAGTCCTCTAAAAAGCAATCCACTATTAGTCGCTCCTCCACCGAAGTTGAATATCGCTCTCTTGCTCATATTTCCGTTGAAGTCACTTGGTTACAAATGTTGCTCACTGATTTTTCCATTCCTCAATCGTCTCCTCCTATTATTTGGTGTGACAATTAATCTGCCATTTCTATGGCTGCTAATCCAGTGTTCCATAGTCGCTCCAAGCATGTTGAGGTGGATTCCCACTTTGTTCAGGAAAAGGTTGCTGTGAATCTTATTCACCTTATCAAATATATCCCCACTCTTGATCAACTAGCTGATGTGTTCACCAAGCCACTGTCCACTCCCAAATTTTCTTTTCTTTCTTCCAAGCTAATGGTCTGTCCTCCACCCCTTAGCTTGAGGGGGAATGATAAGGAAGATATTCTACGGGCTACAAAGAAGAGATTGAGTACAGCATAAGGCCTATACTACTGTAATACACTAAATCATTTCCCTTGTAACAAGATCTCATCCAGTAGTTAGGTTAATAGCTAGATTGTTACACTACAACAAATTTGAGTTTTAAAGACAAATTTTTATGAACAAAAATAATATGACTACAAAAATCATGTTTTTAAGGGCAAAATGAAGGAATTTCAAAAAATATACATTTAATCATATTATTATCTTTTAGAAACAAGTCTATTTGGTTGCAAAAATGTCATACACTTTTCTCTACCCTTTTAATCGATCCCAATAAACCCAAATCATACGTTATTTTATTTTATAGATTCATTCTTTGAACTCAAACAGACGGGAAATAGTAGGTTTTGTATCATAGCAAGTTTTGCTTTCTCTCTCTCTCTCTCTCTCTCTCAAATCCCTAATCTAAAATAGCCTTTATTTCTCTGTCGTGAATGCACTAGATTTCTTTTTATCTGGCCTCGTTTGGGAACAGGCTAATTTAGTAACTTTTTGGCTATTTGGCTAAAATATGATCTAAAAAAACCCAGTATGTTTGGGATGACTTTTTGACTTTTTACAAAAAGATGTGCAAAAAGTAGAGAGAAAAAAGAATCTTTGACTTTTTGGTATGGGTTGTTGGCTTTTTAGCTTTTTTAGTAACTTTTTGGCTTTTTGGCTAAACCAACCTGTTGCCAAACAAGGCCTCTTGAATCAATTTGTTGATTGCTAAGGAGATTCAATCCTTTGTTGATTACTTTCTTTATATCTCATGAATGCACTAGATTTGTTGATTTCTTTCTATCTCAAAATTAACTCAATAGTGGCACTGGATTTCTTTGTTGATTGCTTCTAAGATTCAATCCTTTAATCTGATCTTGACGACAATTTCATCTCTCGACAGTGATTTCAGTATCCAAGTTTGATCAATTAATCAATTCCAGTCTCATAGATTTGGTTTTCGATCTGTGATTTTCTTGATCTTAGTGAGGGTAGTCGTTCAATTTTTTTGTTTTGGTTCATGGATTTATTTGTTAAATAGTTATATTTTTGTCAACATCTGGAAAGGATTTCTATAGAGTGATGTTGCAAATTTACCTAATCCTAATGATCTAGGCTAAGTATATTTGCTTGATGTTGATTTCTATATGCTGAAACATAGCCATAATTTATTCTTTTTTTTCCTTCATAGGATTGAAATGGCAGGTTATATGTGTGCATTCAAAGCAGTAGTGACTGCATAAAGTTGATTGTAGTTTTAACTTCAAGTCAAACAACTTGAATTGCTATGAAATTTAATGCAAAGTTTGAACCAAAACTATTGTTAGAATTTACCATAAACCTACCACCACTACCACCTCACCTACTCCACTAAACCTAACCCACTACACCACTACCACCTCCACTTCACCTACTCTCCACCTACTCCCAAACACACTCCTATATAATAGGAATCCTTGTAATTGTAATAGATACACATCAATCATACAACAATCAATAATACAATCATTTCTCTTTATACATTAAATTTCTACTCCCGACATTGATTCCGGTTAGCTCCTTTATGGGTCCGACAAGACTCTGTAAACTGTCCCGACATTGATTCCGGTTAGTTTCTACCACGGTCCGACATGACCCTATAAACTGTCCCGACATTGATTCCGGTTAGCTCCTTTATGGGTCCGACAAGACTCTGTAAACTGTCCCGACATTAATTCCGGTTAGTTTCTACCAGGGTCCGACAAGACTCTATAAACTGTCCCGACATTGATTCCGGTTAGCTCCTTTATGGGTCTGACAAGACTCTGTAAACTGTCCCGACATTGATTCCGGTTAGCTCCTTCAAGGGTCCGACAAGACTCTGTAAACTGTCCCAACATTGATTCCTCCCGACATTGATTCCGGTTAGTTTCTACAAGGGTCCAGCAAGACTCCGTAAACTGTCACAACCTGACCCCATAAACTGTCTTCTACAACGGTCCGACATGACCCCATAAACTGTCTTCTACAACGGTCCGACATGACCCCATAAACTGTCCTCA